TCCTTTCCTTTCCTTTCCTTTCCTTCTTTTCAAAACTAATCAAACGACTTCAGGGTTCAGTTTCAAACGTTAACTTTTGTAACGAAAAAAAGATTGCAACTGAGACATGTACCAACTGTTTGCTTTTTCTCGTCTTTTCTTCTTTCTAAATTAGATAGAGGAGGAACCAGCATTTCTATTACAACTATACGTATGTTTTTGCTCAACATTCTGGATCATTCCAGGCATTGAACCTGGTAATGGCAGAAAAAAGGTCGGAGGTGAAGTATAAATATTTGTTACTCATGCAGATTTAGTCTGTATTCTGCAGCGAACTTTTGTATCTTAAGGGGGAAATCGGCTTCGATTCCAACGATTTTGGGATTTTGTTATCAGAAATGTAAATCTTGATAATGATTTATCAACATCAATAGCTTTTATACTGATTCGACATGTGACACGTACATCATAGAACTGATTTGCGCTATAAACTGATTACTAGTATAGTTTGTTTCCGATCGATACCTTAGTCTTGTTGTTATCGAAATGGTTCGAGAAATCTCTTCTGATCTCTTCTAGAGTTCGCTCATTAATGATGTAGGTTTGCAAGGGCGGATCCAGGGTTTTTTTGAAGGGGGGTCTTCAAATTTTGTGGGCAAAGGAAACCCAGTCGCATTTTTACCACAGGAAGCCCATTTGACCTCAGGAATGACAGGGGGGTCGCGACCCCCCCTCCCCCCCCGACCCTCCCCCTGGCCCCTGGATCCCCCCTTGGTTTGGAAGTTTAGAGAAGAAAAGAATGAATACATAGCTTTGCGTTATAGACTAAATGATTAGCATGGATAAGATACAATTTGGATTCGTATTGGACGGATAGGATTAATGGATAGATGGGATAGATATGTTGAATTGATATGGGACAAGTAGATGAGTTTGGATTAGATAGGATTTATAGATGGATGGATGATGGTGGTTGATGGATGCATGAGCAGATTAATGGATGAACAGATGTCAGTGATGGGACGATGGGATTGGATGGGTGATTAAAAGTGTCTGATCAATGCATGAGCAGATAAATAGATGAACAGATCGATGGAAAGATGGAGTAATTAGTGGGTAGATAGGATAGTCTAGATTGGACAGATGTAGAGATGAGATTGATGGATTAAAGAACAAAGCACTACAAATATAAGTATAATAGTCCACCGCATGACAGTCATAATCTATTTCTTAAACCTGTGTCTAATATGTCAGTTCATTAATGGACTTTTATACATTTTACAATAATTGTCCTCAACTAAATGATGATGTCTTAAATAAATATCAATCAGTTTTCTCGATCAAGCATTAATGAAGTTCCTACTTGAACATCATTATCACTTCTTACTTTTCCTTTATTTACACTTGTGACAATATTAAAACTTCACATGTTTGGCGGAATGGTTTTTTTGTTTTTGTTTTTTCTTTTGCTAGTATATCTGATTAAATCAAATATATAAGCTAGTTAATCTTACGCTTTATCGCATTTGAGACTATTCCACTCTAGTGATTTTTTTCTGTTGTTCTAGAAGAGTAAATATGGCAGATGGCCAAATTCTCGTATAAATAAAAAAAAGTATATGGGGGTTTAAAATCAATTAATTGAAGTGGATTAATTGAATTTAAGACATTGTATCCTATAGTATTAT